GGACTCCCACGTAGTCGACCGCGGTTCCAGTCCTGGACCTGGTGGCTTAAACTCACACCGGGCGCGTGTGCGTGCGTGCCCAAGATCCCGAGAGGAGAATGGAGGAGAAGGGATTGCGGCGTGACCATCCCCCCTAGGGGGTGATTTCTCGCTTTCTGTCTCTCTGTCTGTCTGGTGAGTGCACGCGCCCTATAGCGAAAACCTCTCCAAAAAAAAAAAAATGAATGTGGACCGCTACCTCACACCATATACAACATCTGTCTACTCCATGTGGATCATATACTAAATGCAAGAACTAAAATGATAAAACTCTTAGGAGAAAACATGATGATACCGCTTCCTGATCTGAAGTTAGGCAATAACACCAAACACACATGTGATAAAAGACAAGATCAGTCAACTGGATGTCACCCAACTTTAAAACCTTCACGTTCCAACGAATACCATCAAAAAGTAGAACGACAATCCACAGACTTGGAGGAAGTATTTGCAAATAATATACCTGACAAGGAGCTGTATCCAGACTATAAGAAGAGCACTTATAACCAAATAATCATACACCTGACGAGGAGCTGCACCCAGACTGTAAGAAGAGCACTTATAACCAAATAATAAAAAGACAAATGACCCACGCTAAAAATGACCCAAAGATGTAAAGAGATATTTTTCCAAAGAAGACATGTGCATGACCAACAGGCTCGTGGACAGAAGGCTTGGCTCTGCATGTCACGAGGGGAATGAGAACCCAGCCCACGCCGAGCTACCACTGCCCCTCTCTACCACACCGTCAGGAGGAAGGCGACGTGGCTGGGCCCTCGCATAGTCAACAGGATTATAAAATGGTGCAGTCGCTCTGGAGAACAGTTCAGCAATTCCTCACAATGTTAGACTTGCCGTATGACCTAGCAGTCCTACTCCTAGGTATCTTATCTACCCAAGAGAAATGAAAACCCACCTACCAAAACTTACCATAATGGTCACAGAAGCATTATCAACAATAGCCAAAGGGTAGAAATACCCCAATGTGGATTTCCTGATGAACGGAAGAACACAATGCCTGAGGTCCATTAACGTGAGTGAAGTATAATCCATGGTACAACAGGATGGTCCTTGAAAACATTACATTATAGGCTGGCAGGTAGTGTGATGGTTAAGGCACTGGACTCCCACATGGCCAACTGTGGTTCGAGTCCCAGACCTGGTGCCTTATTTTCTCATTTTCTCTCTCTTTTTGTTTCTCTCTGGTCAAATGAAAAGTAAATAAATAGGGACCAGCATATGGCGTAATAGTTATGTTGCTGAACTTCCACGTAGTTGATGGTGGTTTGAGTCTCGGACCTGGCGGTTTAACACTCAGGCCAGGGGTGTGTGTGTGTGTGTGTGTGTGTGTGTGTGTGTGTACATGCCCAAAATCCTGAAAGTGCAATGGAGGAGAAGGGGTTGCAGTGTGACCATCCCCCCTTGGGGATGATTTCTCACTTTTTATCTCTCTGTCTCTCTGGCAAGTACAAGACCCCTATAGCAAACAAAACAAACATGCACACACACACACACAACACTCTCTGTCAAATAAAGAAATAAATAATAAGTAATTCTTTCAAAATAGAACATTAAGCTAAGTGAAAGAAGCCGGCCGCACACGCAGCACAGTGATCCGTGTGCATAAAATGCCCCAGCAGGCAAACCTACAGAGACAGAAAGTAGAGGAGGTCCCCGAGAGCTGGGAGTCGGGAGGGAGGAATGAAGAGTGACAAGGTTTCTTTCTAGGGTGATGAAAATGCTCTAAAATTAGATTGCGGTGATGGTTGCACAACTCTGTAAACACACTAAAAAAAAGACAGAGACTGGAACACTTTAAAGGATGAGCCCAGTGACGTGTAAATTGCGTCTCAGTAATGCTGAGAGGCAGGAGCTGGGCAGCTGGGTAAAAGGCGAGAAGGAAGATTTTCTACTATACATCTTTTCATACTTCCTAGGTTGCAGAACCACGCGACTATCCTCTTTAATAGTGAATTTGAAGGGCCAGGTCCACGGCCCAGTGGTTAGGGGAGCAGGATGCGCATGGCCGACTGCAGTTTAAATCCCAACCGCAGCAGCTTGAGAAACACGCCGGGCACACGTACATGCATGCCCCAGTCCTGACAAGATGGAGGGGCGGAGGAGAAGGGCTTGCAGCACGGCCGTGCCCACTAGGGAGGGCTTTCTCCCTGTGTCTTTCTGGTAAATGTACGTGCCCTCTGGCAACTTAAAAAAAATAAAAAACAAAAATGCCAATTAAAAAAAATCAGACCTGGTGCCTTATTTTCTCATTTTCTCTCTCTTTTTGTTTCTCTCTGGTCAAATGAAAAGTAAATAAATAGGGACCAGCATATGGCGTAATAGTTATGTTGCTGAACTTCCACGTAGTTGATGGTGGTTTGAGTCTCGGACCTGGCGGTTTAACACTCAGGCCAGGGGTGTGTGTGTGTGTGTGTGTGTGTGTGTGTGTGTGTACATGCCCAAAATCCTGAAAGTGCAATGGAGGAGAAGGGGTTGCAGTGTGACCATCCCCCCTTGGGGATGATTTCTCACTTTTTATCTCTCTGTCTCTCTGGCAAGTACAAGACCCCTATAGCAAACAAAACAAACATGCACACACACACACACAACACTCTCTGTCAAATAAAGAAATAAATAATAAGTAATTCTTTCAAAATAGAACATTAAGCTAAGTGAAAGAAGCCGGCCGCACACGCAGCACAGTGATCCGTGTGCATAAAATGCCCCAGCAGGCAAACCTACAGAGACAGAAAGTAGAGGAGGTCCCCGAGAGCTGGGAGTCGGGAGGGAGGAATGAAGAGTGACAAGGTTTCTTTCTAGGGTGATGAAAATGCTCTAAAATTAGATTGCGGTGATGGTTGCACAACTCTGTAAACACACTAAAAAAAAGACAGAGACTGGAACACTTTAAAGGATGAGCCCAGTGACGTGTAAATTGCGTCTCAGTAATGCTGAGAGGCAGGAGCTGGGCAGCTGGGTAAAAGGCGAGAAGGAAGATTTTCTACTATACATCTTTTCATACTTCCTAGGTTGCAGAACCACGCGACTATCCTCTTTAATAGTGAATTTGAAGGGCCAGGTCCACGGCCCAGTGGTTAGGGGAGCAGGATGCGCATGGCCGACTGCAGTTTAAATCCCAACCGCAGCAGCTTGAGAAACACGCCGGGCACACGTACATGCATGCCCCAGTCCTGACAAGATGGAGGGGCGGAGGAGAAGGGCTTGCAGCACGGCCGTGCCCACTAGGGAGGGCTTTCTCCCTGTGTCTTTCTGGTAAATGTACGTGCCCTCTGGCAACTTAAAAAAAATAAAAAACAAAAATGCCAATTAAAAAAAATCAAAGGATCAAACAAAATTAAAAAGAGACCCCCCCCCCCTTATTCTCCCTCCATTGGTGAGGGAGTGGGGCCTGGCCACACTGCAAAGAGCCAGGGAGTGGACAGTGGGTTCGATGGGACGAGGGCAGCCTGCAAGAGACTCCAAGACCCACACATGGCCTGGAAGCCGCCAAAGCCATTGGTCCTGGTGGGGAGACAGTGCCCAACTAACAGATGGCAGATTCCGGGGGGTCAGAGGGTGCTGTCCTTGCTCCTCCTCCTCCACCCTACTGGACCTCCAAAAATTCCAGAACCACCCCCGCCCCTGAGAGGGGCAGGAAACCCCTAAGACTGACAGCAGCCAGGCAGAACAGAAGCTTGACAGGGAAGTGGAAGGAAGGAAGAGCCCCTCTCGGGCTCCGAGGCTACACACACCCCTGGCCGCAGCAGGACTCAGATGCAGGATGGAGACATGCCCTGAACCCTGAGGCCAGAGGGGGCCGAGGTGGCTGGTTCCTGGAGCCCTGGGCACGTGCTCCCTCACATGCTCATCCTGTTTGCAGGTGCTCTGCCGAGAGAGACCTCTGTGGTCAAAGCAGTTTGAAAACACTGGGTTAAAGAAAGTCAACACATTTTTTTTTTAGGCCTTCTCAGAGCTTGGGCTTGTGACCCCAAGAGGAGGTCCGGCAGGTTCAAAGCACTTCCATGTCTTTGAGGCACAATTGGTGGAACGGAGGAGGGAGGGCTCACCCAAGCTCAGAGCGAGGCTGTGGACAACAGGGGCTAGAACCTCTGACTCCCGCGGGCCGCGGCCCACTGTGCGGCTCCTGTCTGGCAGTTTCAGCCCGTGTCAAGGAGGCCTCAGGCCCCAGCTTGTGCAGAGCTCAGAAACTTGATGTGTTTGAGCCCTGGGCTGGTGAGATGTCTGGGGACATGGTCGCTGGACACAGAGGCGAGGGAATGGCGGGAGAGACTCTGGAGGAGCAGACAGCCCCTCCCTGTCCACCCTGCCGGGTCCCCTCAGCTTGGGAGAGACGGAGCCCTTTCATCAGCTCCAGCCCCAAGGCTCCCAGGTAACTTGTCCCTTGGAGCGGGGTAAATGGCCCAGCATCTTCAACAAATAAACAGCCCCAGGAAAACAAAGACAGGCTGGAGCCAGCAGTTCAATGTCATACCCAAGCACCAGTGAGGGCCCTGCTGGGCGGCGATGAGAAGCAGCCACTGAAGACGGGACCAGCTAGGGCGGTCGGAACAGGACTAGCTCTGGGATGGCACCCAGGGACTGTGCTTCGCAGACTAGTTTCTGGTTTTCTTAGAGATTTTGTCTTTAAGATATAAATTATAAAGTAGCTCCAAATGGAACTGTGGGGTGTTTGAGTTCAGCTCTAAAATGGAGGGGAGAGAAATGGGGGTATGGCGGGGGGGGTTAAAAGGAGTTCCCCCCTCCAGCTCCTGCCCCTCCTGGGAGGCCCCACCCCAAGAACCCGAACTCCGGGCTCCCACGTGCAGAGGCTGGGGGAGGCCAGGACTGCCGGGCTCACAGTTCTGCTGTCCGGCCACTGAGCCACTGGAACGCCCCAAGCCCGCCGACCCACACAGGCGCCCGGCCCATTCCCTGCCCCTTCCCAATGCCCTGCTACTCACACGGCTCCGCCCGTCCCGCCCGGCTCCGGCCGCCCGGCCTGCTCCGGCCCAGACCACTCATTACTCAGGACTTTATTAATAGCCTGCATTTGATTAGAGCCTGCGCCGCGTTTCCTGGGTTTTCCCCTCCACCTGTAGGATGTAAATCAGCCACACCTCCTCCACCCGCGCCTGCGCGCTCGCTGGTCTGAGGGACCAAGGAGTCCCCTGGGCGCCACCATCCTGTGCACCGGGCAGGGAGGCCTGGCCTCGACCTGGGCACCAACTCCGGTGTGGCTCAGGCTCTTCTGCACCTGGCACTGGCCCACCTCTTGGGCCTGACCTTCGGCCCACAGGCATGCACCCCAGGCCAGGCCAGGCCCCAGGCGCTCACTCGTGGCCCTCCAGCGTGGCTCAGGCCCTGTCCTCTTCCCTAGCAACCTTAGCCCTTTTCATTGCCTGGTCAGCTCCTCCTGTTCTTTCTTCAAAGCTCCATCGGTGTCACCTCCTCCTGGAAGCCATCCTGACTGTGTCAGAAGCCCATATGCTTCTCTGTGTTCCTCCTGTCCTGACACCTTTCAATGTGCAGAGAGGGAGAATTGGAGACCCTGGCGGCCTGGGTTTGAGTCTCGGCTCTGCCACATGCCGGATTCTCTGTGCCTCCATGTCCCCGTCTGTAAAATGAGTGAAGAGCACTCCCTGGCTCCCAGGTCGTTCTGAGAACAACCGAGTTAACACGCAGTTCCGTTCTTAGGGGACGTTCTCCATCAACACTAGACAGGATGGACAGGCTATCTCGTTACGCTGCTCTGTGAAAGCTCTGGGGGACAGGGAACCAGCAACTGCCAGAGCTGGAGTGAGAGAAATGAAAAGAGGTGACGAAAGCCCAAGGGCATCAGGAAGGGAGCTTTGAAGGGTGACAAGGAGCAGAAGGCTGCAGAAGAGAGGAGGCAGTCCGGGCTGGGGCGGGAGGGCAGGGGCAGGCGGGGAGATGCCCGAGGTGGGTGAGCACACGCCGCATCTCCACAGTGGCCAGACGCGTTAGATGGTGTCACCTCCAGTTGGGGCAAGAGCGGACCAGGATGGGGTGATGGTCCCAGGGTACGTTAGCCTTGTTTGTAATGTTTCCATTTTACAGATTTTCGTTGCTTGTGTCAGTGAAAAGTCCCACAGCCACAGCGGGGCTCTGGCAGGTGGGTTTTTGAAGGAGAGGCCATAAACAGAGCCCACTGCCCATGAAAACGGGGCGAACCCAGGGTGACGGCGGGGGGGGGCTCCCTGCCTCCGTCTGCGCACTCCTGAGCTGGGGCTCTCACCACTCATGGCTCCGGGGGATGGCACTGACTCCTAGAAAGCCGGATCCTGTCCACGGATTGGTGGGGTCTGTCACACCTCACTGCTGACAGCTGGCTAATATGGTTTTGCTCAAATGGGGCTTACAGATCTTTATTTGCTTTCTATTTACCTTCATTAGAAGTGTAATTTACATGCAGCAAAATGCGCATATTGCAAAGGAGAAGTTCCGCGAATGCTGATGTATGTATACCCGGGCAGCTGTGACCGGGTCAGGACAGGACACCTGCTCCCTCATGCCGCCCCCAGACAATACACCCGACCTTCTCGGAGAGACCTGTCTCCCTGCCTCTGTCTGCGCACTCCTGAGCTGGGGCTCTCACCACTCATGGCTCCGGGGGATGGCACTGACTCCTAGAAAGCCGGATCCTGTCCACGGATTGGTGGGGTCTGTCACACCTCACTGCTGACAGCTGGCTAATATGGTTTTGCTCAAATGGGGCTTACAGATCTTTATTTGCTTTCTATTTACCTTCATTAGAAGTGTAATTTACATGCAGCAAAATGCGCATATTGCAAAGGAGAAGTTCCGCGAATGCTGATGTATGTATACCCGGGCAGCTGTGACCGGGTCAGGACAGGACACCTGCTCCCTCATGCCGCCCCCAGACAATACACCCGACCTTCTCGGAGAGACCTGTCACCACAGATTTGCTTTGCCCATTCCTGAGTTTTACAAATGGGAACATATGGGGGCCAGACATGGTGCAGTGGCAATGCAGCTGGACCCACTTAAGAAAGGTCCTGGGTTCAGGTCCCACGACCTCTCGGTGCACTGTGGGGGTGCATATCCATGAGCCTGACTGACTGAGACTGGGGTGCATGAGGGCCACGTTGGGGATCCTCTCTCTTCCAACCTCCTGCGAAATAAATAAATAGGCACATTTATTTAAATGGGAACATACAAGTGGCATCACCCCCATCTTTCTTCTGGCTTTTTCCCACTTGATATTACACCTTATTAAGCCAGACAGAACAAAGCATGTGACTTTGGGTGGGCGGGGGGACTCACCTAGTCTCCCAGGGCCTCATTTTCTCCTGACCTGTCAAATGGAAGAAAATCAGGCTCCAACCACACAGAGGGAAGCACCGCGACCCAGTTCCACGCTGACTCGAGGTATGATTATTACTGTCGTCATCGGGTGTGCTCAGATCTCAGGACCCATGCGAATAGACTCCCCGTCTCACTGGGCTCCCGCAGAGCAGGTGCTGGAGGTTTCTGAACCTCATCCTAAACCTCCTAAACCTCATTCTGAAACTGGCCTTTCTGGGCTGCCTCCCAGGGGGATGCAGGATGCTAATTTTAAGCCACACAGTCGAGGTGCTGGGAGAGTTTTGGTACCTAAAGATACCACGTACGCCTCCAGGTTTTGGTGCTGGTTCATTGACACACGTACAATTGAACAGTTAAAATGTACACATGTGGTAAAGACAAGTCTCAGATGGCATGAAGAGAATACAACGAGCAGTAGATTCTCTCCCACCCGGGCACCTGGGACGTGCTGCCCCCCTGCTCAGAGACAGCAGGTTCCAGCGAGTCTCGTGCACGCAGCCAAATCCAGGCACTTCACACACACTCGTCACTCAAAGGTGTACTTCCTCTCCGCCCCCCGCCCCCACCGCATCTTTCCTCACTCAGTCGCAGTGTGCAACTTCGTTCACTTAATATATCCTGCTAATCGGTCCTGATCTTTGTAAAGGTTATTCGATCTCTTTCATGAGAGTGAAATGTAAGTGCTCTCTACAGGTCTCGTGTCGCAGTCAGCCCTCACCACCCCCACCGGCCTTTCAGCCAGGCTCATGGGCATGTCCACGGGGCAGGGAGGGACACCATGACCTTCCATATGGATCCAGCTTCCTCTGAGCCACGTTACTGCTGATCTACTGAGCCAGCCCCATCTTTCTAAGTGAACTCTTAGAATGTCCACCATGGGGGCCAGCAGATGGTATAGTGGTTATGTTGCCAGACTCCCACATGACCTGGTGGATTGAAACTCAAGCTGGGTGCATCTGCATGCATGCTCAAGATCCCAGGAGGAGAATGGAGGAGAAGGGATTGTGGTGTGACTATCCCCCTTGGCGGAGGGGTGGGGTGATTTCTCATTTTCCCTCCCTGTCTCTGTCTCTCTCTCTGGCGAGCATATGTGCCCTTGCTGAGACCTGCTCCAGCCAGGGTAGGTTGAGACTCGACAGAAAGGCGACGCAGGCAAGAAGAAATTCAGGCAGAGACCTCTATGCTATTTAGCATGTTCTCAGCCGACTACAGTCAGAGCAAGCTCAAGACTGCAGCGTCAGTGGCTAGGAGACATACGTATTTATTGAGGGATGTTTACAGGAGTAGGAGGGGTGAGGGGAAGTAAAAGATTTTACTCTAAAAAATAGGGTATTCAAAACATGGGAACAATAATCATAAAACCTGATGTTTGATTAGGTATAAACAGTCACAGTCCTTAGGGCGAGGAAGTCCATCTATCTAGTGCATTTTCTTCTTAGATCTTGATTACTGGGTAGGGCCTTTTTGGGTGAGGGGGTTTTTGTAGCTCAGGAGACAACACAGGATGTTTTATTAGCAGTTTTTCATAGTTTACAGCGCACAGAGAAGAAACTATCTGTAGTTAGGGGCTATCTGTTGCCTACTTGAATTTAGATAAGCACTCTCAGTTAAAATAGGTTATCTCCCCCTGGCATCTTCAGGTTTGTTCATCCTGTCGCTGCCAGCCAGACCTACCCTTCCTCTGTTAGCTCACGAGTTCCTGTATCTTGTTTGCTGAATTCCTGTCTGTTAATTAGCGAATTCTTGTGCCCATCTTTGAATCCCTGTCATGGCGGTGGATACGCTAACTCCCAACTCAGCCTAACATAAGGTAACTCAGCCTGCAGCCTTAACAAGGGGTGTTTATGTAAAATTAGCCTTAAACTAACTTGGCCTACATATGCTAATTACACTAATTTGTCCTATACTAACTTAGCCTAACATACGCTAATTTGGCTTAACACAGGCAGGTGGGGTGAGTCTCATAATTCACTATTCCCATTCCCGATTTTCACCACCTTAGGAGTCCGCATTCTTTCAGGATTATTAATTGATTTATTGTAAAAGTTACAGTAGGGCTTGGGGTGTTATTTTGCCCTTACGGGGTACCATAATGACAGTAAAGCTCATGGCAGAGAGATTGAAAGCAGAATAGCACAAACTAGTACAACAAACACAGTTGAAAACTTGAGCTCGTAACTGTTAGCCTTGCTTGCAGTTCTTCTCAGCCAAGCCTTGCTTAGACATGAGAGGCAGCTCCTTCATGTTCTGCCTGTGTTGGCTGCATGGGTTCCGCCATGCCCTAAGGCAAAAACCTCTAAAAAAGAAAAATATTCATTAGGAATACTAATTAAGAGAATTTACATACCACTTCTTATGTCCCAGGCTCTCATCCAGACACGTTATAGCTGCTAATTTAATACATTTTATATTTTGTGTGTCTTCTTGGAGCACTTGAGTTCCCTCACTGGAGTTGCTTGGTTAAAGGAGAAATTATCCTGTCAAAGGACATTTCCCAGTGGCACTGTCCCACTTTGCATGAGGGGTCTGTGGCATTGCGACCCAGAGGACCCCTCTCTCTCCTGATGTGGTGTCTCTGTGCCCTCGTGTCTCCGCCCCTCTCTGGCCCCTTTGAGGCCATGCTAACAAGGCTTCTAGACAGTCCTGGAGGAAATGGCAAGGCAAGTGCATCCAAAAAAAAGGACGCATCTTAGAAATGCAGGGAAAGCCTCGTTTCCATGACTG